ATTTGGTCAAGATTTAACCGAATATCATGTCAACAAAATGAGACGAGTACAACGTAAAGTTGATGATCTAAGAAAAGTAATGTTAGGTCAGTTATTATACTATTCTCTTTTAGACTTTTTTTTAATTTAATTTATTCTAGACAATAAAAAATTCGATGAAAAATAAATGACGTTTTTTGAACGAAAAAGATTACAAATAATGAAAAATATTGAACTTGTTCTTGAAAATTTTCACATTAGTTATCAATCAAAATCGACAACTAAACTGGGACATCCATTTTCATTTGGATTAACACTTCATTATTTTAAATTAATTGTAAAACATCTCGAATAGATTTTTAAAGCAACAAAAAGAAAAATATTCTTTTTAGACAATGAACGATGTCAGAACGAACAACCAAACGAAACAAATAATGCCAATTATCTACATGGTTTGTTCAATAGAAAAAAAAATCGTTTTTTTTTTTTCAATATTGTTATTATCATTCTTATAGATAAAACAAATTAATTTATTATCAATTTATTGGAACACAAAATGCAAATCGAGAATAAATATACCATTTAATATTGTTGTTGTAAGTAGAACTTTCGCGGCTCCTCCCATTACAGACCTTCACAATCAATAATAAAAGGTCTTCAATTTTTTAGAGTTTTTTTTTTGTTTTTTGGAAAATTGATTCAGTTATTATTTTGAAAACTAATGAATATAATTATTTGTGACTTGATTAATATATATATGATAGTTTTTAAGATCTACTGTAGATATCATAGATATGTAAAACACACTTATTTGTCAATCAATTCAATTATTATTATAATAAGAATTATAACATTAAGAAAAACGAATTAGAAAAAAATAAAAAAAATAATCAGCGAATAGCAACAATGAAAACAAAAAAATAGAATGTCCGTAGAAAAAAAAGTTTTGTTCGAAATGCAGAAATTGGAGAATTTTTTATTTCAGTGATTGATTATCCTGCGAAACAATTATAGTCTAAGAGAAATTTTTTAGTTGCAACTTATTTCGGAGTCATCTAATCCTATATAATCAATCATTAGTATTTTAAACTTTAATTCTATCATAAAAAAAAAAAAAAAAACTTATACTAGAGAGACATAATTGTCAGTAGGCTTTTCTTAGATATAAGTCATTAGAATCATTTCGTTATCTTTTTCTAAATCTATCGAAATAAATGCATTCAGAATTACATAACTATTCAAAATAATTCATGATAATGGAGCCAATGCTCATAGTCAGTATATAATAGGACGTTCAGAAAACTTCTACAAATCGCTCAATTTTATTTCTGGCTAAATATTGAATGTAGATGCGGATGATACTGTCAATAACACAAAGGTACAGATCAACATAGAACATGACGAAGATAGACACTAATCGATGTCAATAATAGTATTGGAAGTATCTAAGACTTTTATATTGATAGAAATGGAAGTCAAATTATGGTTTGCTCATTGATAAATAGTTCATAATTTCTTTCATAAACTTTTTTGAAAAAATATATCACTTATACATACCATACCTATAGGTTATTTTATATCTAAAATATTTCCAATGACTAAGGGATTCCATCTACAATTTTTTAGAAAAGTATGTTGCTGTTTTTCTCTTACAAGATAGAATTTTAGATTCAGATAGATGAATAAATACTCCGTTCAATTTTCTATTGATCGCATCAATTGAAAAAAAAAAAAAACTTTCTTTTTAACAATAATAAAATATATTCAGACGTTCAGACATCAAAATTGATCGTAACCGTGTTATTGTTAAGATCTTTATATTTTTGTTTGATCATTGTCTACTTCAACAAGATTCATTGAATATTATTTCATAAAGATTTACCAAAATTTTCTGATGTATATCGAAAATTTTGAAAATTATTTTTACTTTAATTGACAGTAGTAAATAAGCTCGACCATTTCGAGTTGAAATCAGTCAGATCATTTTAATTTGATAAGCAACTTGAATATTTATATACGATTGGATAGTGTTCATCAATAGCTATCAAACATTATAAACAGATTTATTTTTGCGACCTTCAATATTCCATCAGATCAATCCGAATTTCATATACATTTTCATCTTTCGAACATGCTTTTAAACAGTCAAAATAATTAATACATAACATAACGCCAATATGTTAAAATAAAATAGTTTTTAAAAAAATTTTCTACAAGAGATTATGAGCTAATTTTCAAACAAAAACTAACCTTATTAAATGGTTCTTTTCTAAAATGCACAATAAATAATATTAACGAAAAAATTTCGTTCCATTCACTGATTGTTACTATTATACTTCTTAGCAAAGATAATATGAGTTATGGCAGTTGCTAGCTATTAGATCATGATCAGTGAATGTGCATTAGCTTTAATAATGAGTCAATTTTAGTGACACAGTTAACGATGTGAATCTTTTTTTTTTAGTAAAAAAAAAAAAAACGTTTAATAATATGCACAATAAATTTAATTAGTCACTTTCGAAGTCAAAAATGTAAATATTGAAAAATGACATTTATGGTTTGAGTTGTTCCAGTAGAAGTAGCAGTATTTATTCTACAAAATTTCAATTACCAATATATGGTCCCACTAAATAGTCCGAACTGATACAAGAACAATATTGTGCCACTTGCGATCAATTTAAATCTACTGCAATATGAACCAACGACCGATGAAGCACTATTTAAAGTTACTGGTCCATAATGAACTAGACATGCGTAAGGCTTGGGTAATATCAGCAAATATAGATGGATCATTTAATGTTAATCCAACTGTATCATATTTGTCTTTTATTTTTAACAATGTATAAGTTCGAACCGTTAGTTGACCAACGAAACTTTGCCATTGTATACATTGCGATACAGGATTGTAGCCACTTGTAAAATTTGCTAAGTATGTTATCGATCGCACTTAAGGCAACTGTTGTAGTGAAGATAGCTTATAAAACAAAAAAAAAGATAATTTTGCAGCATTATTTACAGACACCAATCAATAACAATGGAAAAGTCTGATAATAAAAATAAATCCTGACATTTTATCTGACCTTGATTGAAGTTATCATATTCAATATTATATGAAAAGAGAATCTTAGGCGAATTTCGGCTATGCTTTGAAAAATAATATAAAAGTACCACTAACAAATATTCAAGGGTGCGGGTGTGAACGTGGATGTCAGAGAATGGCAAATCCACACCCACACCCTTATACTTCTCATAAGTTAGAACTCTCATATGCTACTCACGAAAATCGTTTCTTGTCATTTTCTTAGCGAGCAAGCTATTGCATGAGTCTTCGATTTTGCCGAATTTTTTGCCAGTTTGAGGTCAAATATGAACTGGTCGGATTTTGACCGGACCGGGTCGGACCGGACACAAAATCTATCCGGCTCCAACTCTGTTTCGAATCATTTGTAGGAGTTTTTAAAAACTGGCTGGACGAATATTTCAAATATTTAAAAAGCACCGTTTTATATCTCACATGAAAGGATTAAGTACAAGTACAAATACTTTCGTTCGAGCTCTGAAGCAGAACTTTATCACTCATTGAAATGACAAAAGTCTTCTCACATCTACAGAAGCACAGGCTCATTTCAAAAATGAAAAGAATTAAAATTATATCCTTGAATTCTACGGATAAAAATATGATTTATTAATCTTGAATATTTTATGCATAAAAATATTGAATTTTATCTTATAAAATCAATATTAACGGTCTATCCAGGATGTGTGTGTGAGACGGATGTGAATAATGATCTTCTAACATCTACACTCACAACCACACCCTCTTTACATATAATATCCTCATTAGTCGGCCATCTAACTAACATAACAAATTGTTTCTAAATATTCTATATAATTTATTCTTCAGCTTCAGAAAAAACATTCATTATATTGTTGTTTGATTGGCAAATTTTGAAAATATCATAAAAAAGTGTTATATAGCAGTAATGTTCTTTTTGATCTTTTGAACTAAATTAAAGTATTATGCGTATATTTTTTGGATACTTCATTAGGTGCATCTTCTACAGTTTTTTCCGCTCTATCGAATCCATAAAAAATTATTGTTGACCCGAACCTCTCTTGATATTTTATTTTTCATTGAAATACTAAAAAACAATACAACATTTAGAAAATTTTTGTGTGGTTTTCCATATATTGACTCTCCATAGATATGTTTTAAAATTATTTAAGGTAAATCTAAATATACAGTTTGCAGAGCGAAACTCGCTCTATCTTTTAACGTATAACTCAATTTAATTTGATCGACTTTTAGGGAAAGAACTAATCACATATTGGAAAGAGAAAAATGATCATCTTAATTTTTGAACTCTATGGAGATATTCTCAATGTTTTTTTCCTAACTATCCAAGAGTCATTGATATAAGGCTAAAACTTTCGATTTATATATTTATTTCCATACTCTTTCATTTGCAATGGTCAAAAAGGTAGATCAACATTTTTTGTATGACCTGATTTCAGTTAATGGTTGAGATTATATTATCAAGATCTAAAAAACAAATCAACCGAATTAAATATTTCTAAACAATAGAGATCGATGATAATTATCATTTTAATCAGTATACTAATAAATCAGAATATTGTATTAATAAAGAATTAGAAAATAAAAATGAATCGAAATGTTGTATAATCGTTCATCAGATCATATGGAAAAGATTTATGGAAACTTTTTTCTTTTGACAAAAAAGTTTCTTTCTTTTTTACCTTTTAAAACAATTTAGTTATCTTCTGCATTATGAAAAACTGCTAAATCGGCCAAGATTAGTTTGTTCTTATCAAAAATTGAACTAAAAAACGAAAAAAGATGCGAAATTTTTGTTTATTGTAGGATAAAAGAAAAAATTCGATCTCTAATAAATTTGTTTATGAACAACCCATGATGACACATTTTACATTCTTCAAAAAATATATTTATCAAGAATAAAATGTCATTTTCCAACAGACAATTTGATTCATGCTTAGAATTTTCAATCATTTTCTTTTTGCTTTTTCATTTGAGTAATACATTGAATATTATTCTCCAATTTTTTTAGATATGGATGTCCCGACCGAAGACTTTGCCGATAAATCTGTAATGATTGTTCAAACAATTGTTGAGCTTCAGATATTGCACCTAAACTCAGTTGTATCGCACCCAAATTGTTGAGTAAGGCAGCTGATTCGGGTGAATTTGGCGGAAGACTACGTTCAAAAATATCAAATGCACGCATACCAACTTTAAGTGCTTGACAATCATCGTTAAGATCATGATGAATATTGGCAAGTGTCGCCAAACTTGAAGCTACACTTACTTCGTTAACGGGTACCATAGCTTCGCGTATGGCTAAAGCTCGTTTGGCATAATCAAGTGCTTCTGCCAGTTCGTGCCGAGCTCGATGAGCATTTGAAATACCAATTAGATTAGTAGAAATAGAGGCATTATCTAATGGTACAATAGATTTACGTAGTTTGAGTGCGCGAGTATGATATTCCAAGGCTAAATCAGATTCATGCCGTTCGTGATGTACCATACCAATTCGAGTGATAGTATCAGCAATATTTTCGCCTGTCTGATAGGATAAAACAAAACAAAAATATGCAGAGACGATCAATCCCAATGTTTAATATTTTATGATAAAAAAAGAGACAGCTGACTCTAGCGAAAATATCACATCTAACTCTATCAAAAGTCATGTTACAAAATCTCAGTATTTTAATTTGAACTCGAGTAAAATTCGTCGTTTCTTTGTTTCAACGTTTGAACTCCGTAGAAGAATACTGTTTTAAAAAGAACGTCGACTTGCATATGCTTCTCCTCAGTAATTTTACTCGAAATACAATGCTTATAGACTTTTTTTGTATATCGCAATAACAATTACATTGACATATTCATTTTTATTATAAAAATATAAAAACAAACTGTCATTTTAGACATAATTAGCAGGACGGCATCATTAATCCTACTGTCACTAGAAACAAGACGAAATTACATCGCCTTCGTTCATTACATTTCTAACTTTTGATTTGATGAAAGAAGCGTTTTTCTACTTACTTCCTCTTGTATTTTGAGTGCCTGTGTATAGCAGTTAAGGGCATTATCATAGTCTCCTTTCTTATCGGCATAAAGATATCCCATTCGAACGAGTATAGAAGTCGATATAGGATGAATACGTTGATATGCGGCAATTGCTAAATCGATTTCACCGTTCTTCGTATGATTCTCTGCTTGCAATTCATCATTGGATATTTTCGGTTTACTGAAATATGAGATTCACAAATAAAATAGTTCGAGTTATTGTTTTTGTGTACTCAAAAAGTTCATACACTATAGAATCGGTCAGTGTGACCGTCCGGCCGACCGTTTACACGATAACTTTCGAAAGGAGAGTTCGATCACGATGAAATTTTCTATACAGTTCAGTCTTTACAATATCTCGGTCGAGTTCGAAGATGAGAAAGATCGGCCGAGCCATTCCTGAGTTATTGCAAGAATACCCATTATTCCCTATAGCTTCCCTATGAAAAGATCTAATCATCCCCACTTTCGTAAAAGACTTTTCCTATCATAGTCAACTAAAACCCCAACTATTATATACCATTCGATAGAGAATTTCAAGAGCTACAAAATGGTATATAAAATATAAAGAAACAAGAAGGTTGACTCACCTATGACAAAGATAATTAAAGATAACTAGCTTTTATTTTTGTCCACGATCTAATTGATCCACAAATAGAGCTCTATCTTCCGATCGCAGAGATAATAGTTCGAAGTTTTCTGAGATGGAGAACTCGAATCTGCATTCCGCTTCCATCGAAATACTATTGGTTGAGCAGTAACTAATAGAAATCAAGTTACAGGAAAAACGACTTTCTTAGGATAAATCAAGGAGAAGAGTTCAAATTTGAGCTGTATTCAGCCTCAAGTCCTATTGGTTTGGCAATACCCAATAGAAATCAACAGTTTAGAGGGTAGGTTCCCCAGTATAATTTTGATGTTTACACATTCTAGGATGGCTTATTCGTCTGATTCACTTTTTGAAGTACACATAACTCTCGGATTTAAATCCGAAGTTTCCGCATTTATTTTTTCTTGGGATTTACATTTGGATGTTTTTCTGTTATGCAATTTTTCACAATACACATTTACCTGTCTATGTTTTGACTTGATAAAGATGATGAATGTATGAATTCTGAAAGAGGAGACGATGATTGTTTTGAAGAAGGAGACAATCGCTGTTTTGGAGAAGTTAACAATTGATCAAGCATTGTTTTAATGGTCTCCCCCTTATGATTATCTTTATACTCGCGTGCCATTTTCTTTCCTTCATCGGGTACTACTTTCAATTTGATGATTGAGGTTGTACCCCGATTGATATATATTATATGAAAAGTTGTACCAACATCGAAGATAACAATTGATGAACGATTTTCTGTAGATACCTCAACTAATTTTACCGATGCATCACAATCAATTTTAAATAAAACCGATGAAAGATCAGATCGATAGCCGGACGATGAAACTAACTCCAAGGCGATCGTTCTTGATTTTGTACAAGTAAAAAAGCCACATGCACACATAATTTTACCCGTATGCATTTCGAAGCTCTCGAGTAGTTTACTTGGTAATTTCATGCCACGATAGAGTTGAAGACTTCCAGTACGCTTCGATTGTTGTTGTATCAATCGAGATGCATCGGCAATGAGAAATCGACAAAAATTGAGCTCTTCCGGTTGACAAAATATAAATGCATGTTGAAGAAGATATGAAGGAAATGGCTTGTCGACACACCAATGCAGAGTCTCTTTCGGACGGTATGTTCGATCGAATTCATCTATAATTCTGATTCTTCTCGGGTTACTTCGATAATAGTCTCGAGCCATCTCGACAAAATCACTTTTGTTGTTCGTTGGAATTTTTCGGTTTGTCAACTACAGAAATAATCTGATCTCATAGACAATTTATACAATTCATAATTAAAATAATCACCTCTTCTTTCCACAATTGTAACCAGAGAAATATATTATCTTGTTCAAATATAAATCTTTCTAGTTGAATCTGTTGAAATTTATCGAGTGTCTCCTTCAGTATCCGAATAAGTTCTTCCTGTTGAGTAAAGATGCCTAGAAGCTTATGATAATTGCCTTTAATAGAATTAATATCAGAATGAAGTACAAATATGGCTTCAATATTGTCAATATTATTCATTGCTGCAATTAATTCTTCATTACTCGACGATGATATGAAAAAGATCTTTTCTTTAAAAGTTTTTGATTCATTCAAACAAGTTAATACATCAGTGTAAGTTCGAACAGTATGATTGATTGCTCGTAATGCACCGATAAATATAGACGTTGATAGAATTTTCAAATCTAACCAAATGAATATGATCGATTCCCGATTTATTTGTATGTCTGAATAGTTGGATTGTATGGTAGAAGCAAACATTTCTTCATTCAATGGAATAAATGATGCAGATGCTGACATAATCTGACCATCGTTATTGTCGTTCATCGTTGTTGCTAAGTTGGAACGACCACGGAGTGTACGCTGTTGATTCATTAATTGTTTAAATAACTAGGAAAAAAAATGTGTTTTTTTTTCATTCATAGATAATAATCATAATCTTGCTCGAAAGATGGAAATAAAAGAAAGACAACTAAACTTTGATAGTATGATGCATTTTTTGAATTTTTCGATCCTTCTTTGATAAATAAATGTTCAACTATAATATTCTCTTTAATAATCGAGTTTTATCAAGTGAAAAAATTAAATAAATTAAAACAATTTTCAAAAGATACTGTTATGATCAATTCTTCATTGAATAAAAATTTTCGAGAAATTTCTAAAAATTTTTCAATATTTTATTGCTTTTGATTGAAATATGTTTTCTTTATTTTCTAAATAATTATATTATATTGATGCGTACTGTTAGTCATACGTAGGTTATTTTCTTTTTTTCAATCCTTTAACGATGAATCAGTCAAACAATCGACGTCAACAAAATAAATTCTTATTACTCAATTTCATCTTAATTGCAAACAACTTGTAATTTTATTCATTCTACCAATTTATAAATAGATCTATAATTTTAACGACGACTTAGTACAACATACAGAGTTCAATATGAAAAAGTCAAATTCAATATGAACTCTCTTTTCAGTTGAAACTTTAGTAAAGATATTCAAAAATATCTTTTAAATATTTTGTTCATTTATTTTTTACATTAATATTTTAGTTGAGTCTTTAGTAAAATATCGCCATTTGTTTTTCTTTCTTCTTTAATAGGAAGACGAAAGACAAGACCTTAAACTTCAAAATTCCATTCCAAATACTGAAAACATTTAGTTTTATTAAACATCTATGATATTATATTTTTAATAAACAATATTTTCCTAAACAGATTTTCCAATAAAAAAGTCAAGGTATTCATATGATTTTTATCGTAATTTCAATAGAGAAGTAGAATAAAGATTCATGGTTTTCAATATTCAAATGAGATCATTGAAGAGTATCATATTAGAAAAATTAAATTTAGTTCTTCGTGAACATGTTGAGAACGATATTTGGAAAGCACTTTTTATTCTATTTTTTCTTTTAATATGAGAATTCAACAAAACAGAATATTATTCTTCATACATTATTTTGAATCATGTCAGAATAATTCTACCGGAAGATGATTTATCATATTGAGTCGACTAATGAAGTTTCTTTTTAATTCCACAACGATTTAAATCTACTATAAGAAGATTTTCAAAACATTGCCCATTTACACTCTATAACGGAAATATTCTCAGATAATCAATAGTTTTTTTTATCTCTTTACAATAGAATATAAACTTTAACAATTGATTTTGTCTATGTATTTGATTACGATAGATTTAGGTCGCAGCTATATCATGACTGGATCGCAGTCGTTAAAAAGAGACGACATGGAGATATGGTCAATAATCCATCTCTAAAACATTTTTTGTATGAGCCAAGATAATTAGGGTATAATCATGAATCTTTCGAAAATGCTAATAACATTGGAACGAAACAACCTAGAAACATTAGCTTTATATAGATCGAAAAAAAAGAAATTTTCATATCGATCAGTCACAGTAAAAGCAAAAATCTAATGAAAAGTCCTTAGAGAATGTCATTTTCAATATGTTCATGAGATTTTATTTGTTTAAAACAAATCGTTGTTGGAAAAATTATTTGAGAGCGAGTCGACATTCGATTCAAAATGTTTCGCACTACAATCGTCGTACCTGTACATAATATGAACAATGTCACTTACCACTAGGATTTATTTCATTCTTGTCAGCATTAAAAAAATGAATTAGTAAGTTGGTTTTCGAACCGTGATAAAAAGCACGAAACAATAACAATTGATGTTTTTTCTCCAACTCTGGTTTTATTTCGATTCTGTCACTTCTTATACTACCGAGTAGAAAAACTTTCGAAAGTATTCAGTGCAATTATTTAATTTCAAGAACGCAAAAAAAAATTTCATCGTTGATGGTAACTGGTAAACATGCATACATTTACATGAAATGCATTTTTCCTGCATCTATCTATTCGGCTTTGCAAACAAAAATAAATCAGTAGTTACTTCAAGAAAAACTTGAAGAACGAAAAAAAAAAATTAACGGAATATTGCACTTATTTTATTTGTATATCGAACTTATCAAGATAATAAATAAATAACTTATATGTCGAAGTACATTGACGAAGAAAATCATTATCAAATGTGTCGAATATATTTCTTTTTATTTCAACACATGACAAATTGAACAAAAATGCGAATCGGTTTTTAATTGATAAATATAAAAGATAATTTTGTTTTATTCTCAATGTTCTCACACAATCTCGATGCATTCATAAGAAAAACACGTTAAAAGGTTTTCAATTGAAAATTTTATTCTTTTTATGAATCTGTTGAGTCAACCAGCGGCAACATTGAGTGATTTCAAGAAGTGAATAATTTTGTTTACCAGAACAAAATCCATGACAAATTCATTTGTGTAAATGTCATTAACAAACAATCTCGATCGTATTTTTGCTAAACAATTTAAATCAATTTATCAAATGCAAGTCATCAAAATTTAAAGACGAACATTTGTAGTAGAAGACGATAGAATGTATGATATAACCAAAGAGATCGTATCAATAAAGCAGGGAGTATAGAATTTCGCTTTTGTTACCCGAATCTACGATATTTTTGAATTTTTATATCCAACTTAATGATAGTAGTATGACACTGGTTTTTAATGTCGCTTTTATAAATAAAAACTTGAAAAAATACGGATATCATTAGAAAAAAATCAACTCATTCGATTAAAATATAATGAGATAATTACGAAATTTTCTTTCCTAGAATTATTTTTCAAACGGAAAGAAAATGACAGATTCCTGTATCGTATTGTCGATGTGTTTGATAGTCGTCTTCTATTCGAAACATATATGTTGTTTTCCTCTATGAATCTACCCATTCTGAGATTACGTTAATACTAAAAAGTATCCGAGTCAAAGTTGAAAACTTCTGTGTTATCAATTAGATGAATGTCGAGATATTTGACTGCATACAGATCAATGTTGCTTCTCGTTCTTATTGGAAAAGATCAATACAAATTTAGCTAGATATATTTGGACTAGATGCGTCTATTCACTCGTACCAGATCAACAGGTTTTCCTCTTTCAATCAACATTTTACTTCTTGATCTATAACCAAACTTGAATTATTAAGTTTCGGTTACTTCAGAAAAACAGATTTTTCTGTCTAGAATAACCATCTAGATAATTAAAACGAAAAAATAGATGGACATGTCTGACATATATTCATTGTCTTTTATTTTAGAACAAAGAATAAATGGAACAAATGTTTTTGATCGTAAGAAAATAAAAATTTTGGAGCAGAGTTGTATTTTCTTACATTTTTCGTATAAAAAATCGATCCAAGACGCATTAAACACAAAAGAAAGGTAGCATATATCAGATTCTATATGCTGCACATGAAAATGATGAATAAAATTTAACATTTAATCATGACTCGATAGATATTTGACAAATTTTTTGAGTTCAGTCCCGTTTGGTCGACTAATTAAGACCAATTATAAAAAATTCCCGTTTAGTCGACAGAATTTTTTTTCTGATGTAGAGGTTCTAATAATTAAGAGCTTGGTCGACTAGTTAAGAAACAGTTGATAAAATATCATAAAAATCATTGTAAAAGTTTTATCTTCAACTTAGGCACGCGAATACTTAATTTATTTTATTTTTTAAATAACATTAGACAATGAAAATAAACTTGAAATAAATGCTAGAAACTAATAGAAAAAATCATGAGGAAGTTTCATTATTATTAACCCTGATACAAAATGATTTTTTTTGCCTATCGTTTTGCTTATTTTGATGAAATATTCATTTAATGTTAATGTACCATTGGCATATCGATCCATAAGATTGATAATTCTTCTATTGCGAGGGACATATTGTTTCTTTCGACGTTGTTTATTTTCTTGATGCTGTACTTGCTTAAGTGATGCATTTCGATTTTCACAACGCCAGTAAGTGTTGACGTTACGGATACGATCACGTAAGTATCGATACCCATTGAAAATTAAACACTTTTTACCCTTTCGGGTTTCTGTTATTGTATGCATTTTTAATTCAAATTCAAATATGTTAAATTCAAGTACAAATAGAAACAAAGAATATGTAAGTTATCATGTGGTGGTTTCTTTTATTTCATTATGATTCATCCACTTTATGAATTCTTATTCGATATTATCCTTCCTAATAGAAGTTAATCACACTAGTCTTGCTGATGTATACTTGTTCGATTACATCGATTATATCGTCACCTATAAAACACTAATAGTGAAATATATCTACAATAAGCTTTCTACTTTTCTACAACAAGTGAACATTCACTATGTGATTGACTAGTCTACCCTTAATTAGTCGACCAAACTCTTAATTATTAAAATGCGCAATACGAAAGAGAGCAACAGTTGTCGACTAAACGGGAAGAAAATTTCTGTCGACGAAACGGGAAGAAAATTTCTGTCGACGAAATGGGAAGAAAAAACTGTCGACGAAACGGATCAATTAAGGGCTTGTCGACCAAACGAGAAGATACCATTTTTTTGAATCATTCTTTTTACTTTGATGTCAAACGAAAGAAAGGGGGAAAACATCTCAGTAAATGAATTTTGTTAATTAGTGCATAAAAAAGATCAATAGAAAGTTCATCGAAGTATCTACTTCTATTCCAACACTATTTATTAAAAAGATAAGATATCAATTACATCTTGTACAATTTATTGTAGGAAATTCAGGTTTTTATTTCTGAATTTGAATTAAAAATGCATACAATAACAGAAACCCGAAAG